AGAGAGAGAGAGAGAGAGAGAGAGAGAGAGAGAGAGAGAAGGAGAGCAAGGGAGAGTCCGTGAGAGAGAAATGGGGTTAGGGTTATGAGAAGGCATGTGGGGACAGGGTTCACAATGATAGAAACTTGTGATGGACTGTACACAAATATAGTGATATTGTTGTGACTATTGATTTATCTATGTGTTATTTAGGTAACCTGTCTTCTGCATAAGGGAATGTCGAGGTCGTTTTTTATGATGATCCCTCACGAAGACATACAGGGTTGAGCTTCCATGGAAGCAAAATATGTGTGATCAAGTGAATTTGGAGATGAAAAAGGAAAATTTGGTCCTTTGTTATTGAACCTGCCTTCCCGAGATGGCTAAATCATTTTGTTTTAGGGATGAGTGGGCGCCTTGTGCTTTTAAATACGACTACTTTTGTGGATAGGGGGTTGCTGCCACACTGTTGCGATTCTTGAAAGCAAAATTTGTTTAATCTTTCCTGCGATTGTGTTCCTGGAAGACTTTGTGGACGTTGGACTCTTCTTTTTTTTTCTGTAGTATTCTATGAAGAATAACGGGTTGATGCAACACTGTTGTGATTCTTAAGAACAAAGTTTCTTGATCCTGCTACTAGTATTTTTATCGAGCTCTATCGACCCTGGCCTCTCAGTATAGGCTACTAGTATTTTTATCAAACTCTATCGACCCTGGCCTCTCAGTATAGGCTACTAGTATTTTTATCGATCTCTATCGACTGTGGCCTCTCAGTATTTTTATCGAACTCTATCGACCCTGGCCTCTCAGTATTTGTATCGAACTCTATCGACCCTGGCCTTTCAAATTTTCGGGCTAAGTGAACTCGGTTCTGAGAGGGAACTGGGATATAACGATATACCGAGCCCGTGGCCGATGGGATAGGAACCAATTAGCAGAACTGCACATCAGGACTAGAGGAGGTATCCAGCTATTTCTCGAAAATCAGAAATTCTATGTTGTTGCGGATCAGAGATGCGGCATTAGATTCACTATTTAACTAACAAGTGCAACTTTTGTCAGCCTTTGGGTTGGTTCGAGGACCCCCCCTAAAGATAGTCGGTTGGCAACCGATCGAAACGCGGCGTAGGGGAAAGTCGTTGGTTGGAAAGGTGGAGGCAGACACTTACGTGTCATGCTTGTGTTCTCTCACAGTGTGAGGATGAGTTGGTGGATGGGCAAGTGAACTGTGCTCATTGTTTATCTTGTGAGGGTTTTAGTGCATATCATATGGATCATTTGTCTCTCACCTTCTCTTCACCAGAATGTGGGTATATGCATGCATGTGACCACTATGTGGCGACTTTGATCCGAGCAAGAGGATTGGGACGATAACCGACCGGGAAGGACACCTAGGATGGTGGTCGTTATTTCAGACTAAAAGTCAGAGAAGAAGAAAGGACAGGTGTGGCGCATCATCGGAAGCAAGGATGGGCTGCTATACGTGCGGCCAAGAGCAACAAAAAAATTGTCGCCGAAATTCAACAATTTTGTTTTTTGATGACTAACTTATTCACGCCAGAGGGGCTGTGACCAACTGTTAAAACTGGGTCTTCTGCTGTGTTCAACTACTCATCAACATTATCAACTTATTTCCAACGAGTCCAACATGGTTTCCAACAGGTCTCCAACTTTTTCTCAACGACTCGAACATAGTTTCGTACAGGCCTCCAACATTAACCAACACATATCCAACATGGTTCTTGACCCACATTTCAGTACATGATAGGTGAGAGAGTGCGTGTGTGTGTGTGTGGCGGTCGTGTACTGCGGGCCGGTCCTGCAGCGTGTTTTTGTGGTGTTATTTCCCCTTGTGAGAAACCCTTCTGGAGAAATGGGGGAGAGAGAGAAAGAGAAGTGCAGGGGAGAGAGAGAGAGAGAGAGAGAGAGAGAGAGAGAGAGAGAGAGAGAGAGAGAGAGAGAGAGAGAGAGGAAAGGTGGCAGGTTTTTGCAATGGTATATGAAAAACACACACAAGGAACCCCACACTTCAACATGGTTGGGAACTCGCCGTCAGTTATGCTGAAATACGACAACAACGTCTTAATGCACAACCCCCACATCCTAACCACACGAAGGAAAAACTCAGAGAAAGGCAGATAAATGCAATGCAATAAGAACAATACACACATTAAACCCCCCACATTTTTGAAAGGTCGGGAACTGGGTGACACTTATGCTGGA